TTAAAAATGCTGCAATTGAAAGTAAAATCTCAATAGCAAAAAAATTGAGAGGGCGCAAAATGGGAAGAAGATCTGCAGACATTAAGGGCGGCAAGCAAAATTTCCCATTTGTGAATTCGAGAAAATTAGTTTCCTTGTGGGAAGTGCTGCTGTGGACCTGGAAGAAAATAATAATTCAGCTGTCAATAAATTGAAGAAAAGCTCACAATCATGCAGAGAGACAGTCTAGAAGAAGATCCAGGAGTATTTTGAGGCCTTCGAGGGTTGCTTCTTATGTTGATTTGGGCACTTATTTACCAACCCACCTGCCAACTAATTAGCTTAAAGACAAGTTTTGATGTTGCTAATGTTTTCACGCCATTACATTTTTTTTCTTTTTGCAAGGTTTTCTCTTTTTTAGTTGCCTGTTGGTCATTTGGAACAAGATTGTTTCAGCTCCATTTTCAGCAACTTTGCACTATATTGTTGCTTGCCATAAAAACCCCTTAGAAGGCTTCAAATTAGGGATTAGCAGGGAGTAATACATCCACATCAGACTTAATCAATGAGCAAATGCAAGTCATGCAATAACTGTTCAACTTATCTTTGATTTAACAAACTATCAAATATGCTAACCAAATGCTAAATAAACAATTTACTAATCAGACAATCATTCTTTATGGCACGCCATTCAACAACTTTTAATGCAGTTTAAAGTATCAGAGTAGTAATGTAGAAGTGATTCATAAGGTCTGTAGAAGTTAGAGAATAGAAACATTACATTGTCTACTTATTTGATTGTTTAAATAAGTGTGTGGGCGACGTTATTCAAAGCTTGATTAGTTTCAATCCAGGGTTAACTTCATAGGATTAGGGCTGATCGAGCTTTGAACAACCCGGCCCTGGTCTTTACAGCTTCAAGACAATCCTATCAATAACACAAAAAAAGAGGATTCCTTTTGGTCACCTAATGCTCTTTTACCTGCTTTCTACCCTACACTATCATTCCTAAACTATTTCTATTCTACTGTACATGTAGTGCTCTATATACTAATGTACTAGCAGCAGGCTACATTGCTGTGTCTTTCATCTGTTTCATGTGGCTACACTGTACTGTTCATGAAGTTTTGTTTTTAATGTTACTAAACAATGAAAATATTGCACACTACATCTTAGGTTAACTTAGTGACAAATCTACTATGAGCTTTTCACATGAAAATGTTTACAAGAGAGCTTTTCTGAAATGACCAACTTGAAATCACAAGAATAGTTGAAAGAATTCTCTAACTCCATTTATGAACACTTTCTTTACTCTAGGTTTTGTTATTTTTTCTTTTTCAAACTTAATACACCTATTYACTAATGTTGTCATACGAAAAAACAGGATCTACATTTTTGACAAGAAGATTGCCAAAGCTGAGCTCTCTTTTGTTTGTGTCCTGAAATTGCTTTCTCACTGAATAACTTCTTAATGTTCTTTCTCTATACAACAACCTTTAGCAGGTAGAGTATATATTTCAAAGTCTATAAAAATATCATAMGTTATTTCAAAAAGGATTCTCACAGAATAGGTATAGAATTATTAAGAAACAATTGTGGTTCATTATCCAGGTCAGTGTTGGACCAGCACATGGTTGCTACACAATGAATCTAATAACTAACTCATCTACCTATCTATCTAGAGACATCTACTTTCAACAGATAAACAAACAACTTTTACATGGTCACTATCACAACTATTAATAGCTGACATTCATGTGTTTTCATGATCACTGTCTTCCTGACTTCCTACACTGTCTTCATTAACACTTGTATCTTCTGTACTGTCTATGTCTTTTGCCTCAATAGYATATGTTGTTGGAATCCAAATGCCATAATCTGTCACTATAAATACAAAATATTCCAGCCACAATTTCTACAAACTGCAATTAATAGATCACAATGCCATCTTGAGAAGAAGCTGATTGTTTACATAGAAGTGAGACAGTGGTTGCTGAGCTTGCAGTTAATTTATAAACAGTTGACCAACACAGCACGCGTCAGGTAAATCACTGTCTCACTTTGAAACTCCTTTGAAGATGACACTGCTATGATCGGTAAATTGAACGTCTATGGTATCTTTAAATAGCTTTAATGGCATATAATGACTCTAAAGTCATATCAGAMAATAGAAAAAGAAAAGTAACAGTAGATAATAATATTAGAACAGTCCAATTGTCATAGCAACTTACCAGGAACAAATTGGTTTAACAATGGACTTCCAGGTCCAGGAATACCATGCATTGCTACAGGTTGTTGATTGGGTTGTTGTGGTACTACAAAGACAGGTTGGGGTGGYGGCGCTGAGTGGGCAATGACGGCTTGCGGCATTGGTTGATTGCCCTGCTGCTGGGGAATCATTTGTGGAATGTACTGAAGTTGAAACTGGCCAGAYGTTGTTGGACTGGCCTGTGGAGATCCTGGATATGATGGTGCTGGAGCCATTTGAATGTTACTTGGAACTAATGCACAACAAGCAACACAGTTAGGTCTTTATCATTTTGATGCTAAATCAACATGGATTAGGTACTCAGCAAGTGAGGACATTTGAATTCTTAATCTCAAATATGCCAAAATTTTTCTCAAAAGTTCCAGTAGTCAAAGGGTTAAACAGGAAGAGTAAGGATAATGTAAAAAACAATGTATACTTTACAATAAATCAATTTTAATATTTATAAATATCAATGAATCAATGAATCCATCAATGAATCAATGAATCAACCAATCAATCAAATCAATGCTTACCATATAGAGGCATAGTGTTTTCTTGRTATCCCTGAGCAACACTCTGAGCTGTTGACATTCCAACCTAAAAATATCAGTGCAGATTGCCTGTTGAAATCTTTTACAAAAACATCAATTTCAGAAAACGTTGAATACTGAATAATTCATTTTGAGATAGCAACACATTTTTGCTGTTAAACTCTGTGTTAGGTGCATAGCAAAATTACAATAGTCTTCTTCACGGTTCCCTGCGCCATCTTGAAAGGTAAATGTGCCTTTACATTGAATCAAGATGACTGTTGAGTGTGCAATGATAGGTACCTTCTTTCACACCTACAGACAATTCTTCATAAGTATCTATCATATTGCACCCCCAATGGTTGTCTCGCTTCGATGTAAAGGCACGGCTACCTTTCAAGATGGCGCAGGTAACCATGAAGGTGACTATTCCACGAAAGTTCTTAAAATATAAAAATGAATTTCATAGGAGAATTAGGATTGGTTAGTGGACTTACAGTTTGTGGTGGCATGTAGTGCTGCTGTCCTCCTTGATGCCCAGGATGTACTTGTATATTATAACCCTGGGGTGGCATTTGATGTACCATATTTGGGAACTGTTGATGTGATGGTAGAGCAATAAACTGGGGGATTGGTCCAGGTTGTGCAATTATTGGGCTTCCTGTGGCAGCAGTAGCAGAGATTGGGCTACCACTATGAGAGTCATCAGTACGCATATAGCGCTGACCTGTACACAAAATAAATGCATTAAATGACGGTATTCCATAGATGGTGTTTCAATATTGAATATGACACACTTAACTAAAGCTTAAAATGAAAAGAGAACCTATATAAGAAAATCCAAGTCAAAGTTTATTTCCAATCAGGCAGCCTGCTTATAGCCAGACGTTCTCTGTCCCAAAAACCCTTGGAGTGGCCCTGGCTATGCAGGCTACCAATCAGGGTGAATGTTTAGGAACTGCATGTGATTTACAAACTCCTCGTTCAAAGTTTGAGAAAAGTTGGAATGAATTGTTGTTGTATGAATTTTTCTTTCTGTGTTCAGCTGCAAAAATATTGATTTCCTCTTTGTATAAAATGGTCTAGAATGCCAAGTGTGATACGTGAAGAAATTACAAACTATTTTTAATTTTTTTATTGGACATGTTTCACATGCAACAAATAATTTCCAATGTTCCAATTGTCATGTGTCTCAGACCTTTTCTGAAATACAAAATCATGGTGTATTGTGGTCTAGCTTCAGCACACAACACCATACTTGGCAGCATGAACAAAAGATGTTTGTACTGAATCTAGACCACANTAATATTGCAAAGAGTTATTTTGAAGTGCACGCTTCAAAATGACCAATCAAAGAGCGTATAATATCGTTTTATTCTTTATTTCCCCGGAGCCTCGTCTGCAATTCTTTTGTGCATGGTCACTGAGCCAAAATATCTAAACTCGGCTATTAGGTAGCCTGCTTATAGCCAGACGTTCTCTGTCCCACAAACCCTTGGAGTGGCCCTGGCTATGCAGGCTACCAATCAGGGTGAATGTTTAGGAACTGCATGTGATTTACAAACTCCTCGTTCAAAGTTTGAGAAAAGTTGGAATGAATTGTTGTTGTATGAATTTTTCTTTCTGTGTTCAGCTGCAAAAATATTGATTTCCTCTTTGTATAAAATGGTCTAGAATGCCAAGTGTGATACGTGAAGAAATTACAAACTATTTTTAATTTTTTTATTGGACATGTTTCACATGCAACAAATAATTTCCAATGTTCCAATTGTCATGTGTCTCAGACCTTTTCTGAAATACAAAATCATGGTGTATTGTGGTCTAGCTTCGGCACACAACACCATATTTGGCAGCATGAACAAAAGATGTTTGTACTGAATCTAGACCTATATCTCTTTTCAAGATTGACTCTATGGCAAAGTCTACCCTATCAAATTTTTGTCCTTGAACAATTCTTACCTTGAGTGAATGGAGAACGTGGTTTCATCTGTGGCCGCATCATAGTTGTGAATCCTTGCATTCTATGAATACCTTGTGTTGGAGATGGTGCATATGGGATGTATGAAGGCTGTAATGGTGGTGTCTTCTACAAAAACAAATATAATTGTCAGTTTTGAGTCTAAAAAACTAAGAAAATTGTGTTTCTCTCTGTCTTAGAGTGCATGCTRTATATCTGTGAAATAAAACTTGACATTCAAATTACAGATTGTGCACACTGTTTTTGTGTAAACAACTGAAAAGCACAGAGTGGAACAATGCAAATAAGAATAGTCAGCCATTYAGTTTTATTGTATGAATTAAAACGTCAGTAAAACCTGCTGCACAGATACAGTATGTGGACAAAAATAAACACTAATAAAATAAGACAAAAATTTCATTTTCACTYACTGTACTGGTTACTAGACATGGTTTAAATTCCTTAGCATCTGGATTCAATTTAAATTTTGGTCTGCAATATAAAATAAAAAAAAACCATTGTCCTACAGTTGTTTGATATAATTGGTTTGAACAAACACAAACTAACAATCAGGATATATCAATAAACAAAGCTTTGCAGCTCTGTACTCATTCATTCATTAATTACTTTGTTAGAGGAACTTTATAAAAGGTTTAATTTCTTACTTTTCTTCAGTCTTTTGTGTATTTTCAGTTGTCTTTTGTTCTGTTGCTAGACAAGAATGTACAGCATAAAAATCAGCAGTTAAATTACTACAGTTTATGAGTGGGGCAATCAGGTAGTGAAAAACTTGTAGAAAAACTTCAACWTGATGGTCTCAGAGTGTTGTTAGCTACATAAAAAAATGATGTCACATCCTATCATGAATAGCACATGTCAACAGCATGTGTGATGCTATATTCAGTTATTCATTTGCCAGGGTTTGATTAACAAATTTTTATGTAGTTAGTCTGGGTGACCTGTGGATTCCAACACACAAATACTAACTAATTGGTAAACCTAGACTTGGCTACAATCTGTGGGAAGCCCTAGTAGTGTATAAATTGTTTAAATCTAACCTTTTTAATCTTACCTTTAAGAGTATCTTTCTGTTCTTGTTCTGTATTTGCAGTATTCTGGTCCTTTTGTCCTGGTGTCACTTTCTT